GTAAGGCTTATTGAGATTTAATTCCAGGGGGAGTGGTTATCCATGTCCACGAGTTCCTGCAGATAAATACAATTTTGTCACAGCAGCAAACATGTCGTTAGTAGCCTATGGCAGCAGTGATGACAGCGACTCAGAAGAAACCTCAGCTTCACAGAGTAAAGGGAGCAGCTCGGGGGGGCTCTTCTCTCTCCTGCCCACTCCAAAGAAGCCAGTTTCGACAGGGGGAGGATCGAGAAAGGAGACAAGAGTGCACCGCTCAGGGGGGGACAGCAAGGCACATGATGACCCAGATCAGCCACCATCTAAAGGAGGCTTGATTTCTGGCTTTATGCCTAAACCGAGGAAGAGAACAGAGCCTGTCAAAATCACTGCACCACAGATCCAGAGACGGGATGTGAGTACTGACCCGTTTCACTTGACATTTTGTAGCTCCTGTGATATTAATCAGGTTGTAATTCATGACCTATGTATTTATTTTCAACAGTCAGACTCTGATGAGGATGATGAACCTGCAAAGAAGAAAGTACAAACTCAGGTAAGAATACCTCTCACCGTCTGCTGCTCAGTTTTAGAGCTCGCCACAGTAACTGGGATTGAAGAAAAAGTTTAAAGAACACTCAAAGCAGTTTCTAAATGAATAAACATTGAAACAGTGCTTGCTCAGCTTGGAGACCCCAGATATTAATTCAACAAATTGCTTTATATTTGGGATATTACACAAATAATTCAGCTGTCATTGATGACCTTCTCACGATCACATTATTGGATTGTATAGATGTCCTAAAAAGCTTGTTTCTGCCCTCCATACACACAATACACTGGAGTTAAACTAGCAGCTAGAACCTTTGTATCCAGTAAGGCTGAACATACATCTAAATGGAGTAAACCAATGACAGAATATTTAATTGTATCACTTTGCAATGTTATCAAACGAATGAAATGTGGGTGCCAATATTTGTACCTACACCGCCCTGATACCCTCCATATCTCCTGCCTCTTCCAGGGTTCAGGCCTTTCCTCCCTTCTGCCACAACCCAAACACATGACCAGGAAGGCGATGGACAGACCCCTGATTCCTCACACACTCACCAAGCGGCAACCACCCAAAGGACCCAAACCTGGAACGCCCGCTCAGGGTCTGCTCGGTTCCAGCGCATCGCCCTCTGCTATCAAGGCTGCAGCAAAGTCAGCGGCTCTGCAGATGGCGAGACAAATAGCCACCGACGACCAAGATAACGATGAGGACATATCCCCACAGAACTACTTTTCTCTGGCCGAGAGCTCCCAGCCTCTCCCTGCAGTCATCCCGAGCCTGGACCCTGAGCCTGGGCCCCCCGCAGAGCCCCTGGCACCTGCACCTGCACCTGCAGACGAGCCGGGGCAGTCAGACGCCCCTCTCGACTTCGGGGCGGGGGGTGAGGGAGCCGGTCCATGGGGTGCTCAATATCCTCAATATCAACAGGAAATGGAAGGCACAGATGCTCCCCCTCAGGTAATCAGGACTCCCGAGGTGGTTTTTACAGCATTATACATGTCAGACAAATGGTTTCAGATTCTGCTGGCTGTTTAAATATACCTTACTAATAACATAACCTGGAGAATTTATACATAAGCTCACACTAACCAATCCAGATCAGAATAAACCCTTTAGTAAATGCTTGATATTGTATTCAGTTTTTCTGAAATTATTGAAACCAAATGAATGGTTGATGCATGCATGCACCCTCACATTGTCCAGTCACGTGCTTCAGACACGGTTCACATTATAGATGCTAATCTGACACTCACACAACTGCAAGAACAGCACCTTTGAGAAAAAGGTTGCTGATTTAAAACAGGCTTTGTATTGTCGCAATGTGGTTAGTCTGTGCAAATAAACAATGTTTGGTTTCCTTATGTGTTGTTGGTGTCTGGAGCTTCTGGTTAATTTGCCAGTTTGCCGAACATTGTTAATTTGCAGAAACAACTAACATTGCAACGACACAAAGCCGGTTGAACATCAACACAATCTCCCTTTTAACATCCATACAGAATTCCACCAATATATATACTTTGACGCTCCAGAGACACCAATTTGTCTTTATTATCCCAGGTCAATCAGAGCATTCTTATAATGAACTATAGACGTTAAAGAGATACATGAATATAAGTGATATCCAAATCATGTTCTCCTTCTATAGGGATACTATAATCAGCCTTACGTCCAAGATCCAGAGGCGGGATCAGCTGAGGCTGATGAGCCCGGCAGCTCCGCCATGTTTGATGAGGAAGCGGTAAGAAGTTTGCTTTGTTCTTTCTCTCTGTATTGTTTTACTAAATACCTCCAATCTTTAAAAGTAGGTTAATTCTTGATGATTTTGCAGCTTCATCAGGCCAAGGATAAACCGTGGTCTAACTGATATGATCATTTCTTCTTCCTGTGCTTTAGTTCATGCGGCTGCAAGGGAAACGGAACCGGGGCAAAGAGGAGGTGAAGTTTCTGGAGATCAAAGGGGACGACCAGCTGAGCAGCAACAAGCAGTGGATGACCAAGAACATAACGGAAGAGAAGCAGACCCGCCAGTCCTTCAGCAAGGTGACCTACATATAATAAAGAAGTACATCAGTCAGTCAATTGTTTGAATTGTATATCGATATGTAATTTCATTTACCAATAGTTTGCTTGAAAATGCACCTGGAAATGCTTAAAAAAGAATAACATGTAATAAAAGACCTTTTTTTATTTTACAGAAAAAAGGAGAGGGGCCTACAGGACAACAGCGACGCAAGCATCAGATAACATATCTCATTCATCAGGTGAGTGCTGCTAAAGCTTAATTTAAACCTTCCATATTTGTGCAATTTAAATTCTGTGATCTAATAGTGCTGACGGTCAGTGGTGGCAACTGTGTAGTCTGTCCACTTTAATATATTGTAGCCAAGGGAGGAGGTTCGAGTAGTATTTGTACATTATCTTTCAGTGGGTTTTAAAGGTGATACAGAGCAGGGTGTGAGTCTGTGACATGTCTGAACACATTTAGATTCAAAGTGTTAGCTTCCATGCTTGATTGTACAAGCAAAGACTCAGCGCTGCGTTGACTACTGTATATCTGAGGTTTATACAGTAAGCTGCAAGATGACGATCCTACACCAGGCATTCAAACAAGCACAGAAATAGTAGCCACATTTCTCTTAGCCTTGAGTCCTGTAGCTTCTTGTTTGATGTACAGAGTGATTGTCTATACTATCACGTTTGGTGTTGTTTTAACACCACTCAGATGGTATTTATAATTGGTGCACAGAGTGGGAATTCTTTTAAATTCTTAAGCTGGTTGGTATACAAGGCTTTTATTTGTTTGTGTGGGGGATTTATGCCAAAATGTCTCAAAGTACAAACCCCATAAGGCGACCTGCATACTACATTCACATCCCATACTGTCTGCAAGCATTTAGAAATCATAACACAATTAATTTAATGTAGAGAGCAGTGTTTTTATTTTTCTAAGAAAGACTGGTTTAACCAAAAAATAGTTAATTAAAATAAAATCTATTTCTACTGTCTGGTACTATTGACTAAAAAGTGTTTGTTCAGAATTCAGGTAAAAACATTAAGACTCCGCTTGAAATGTTCAATGACAAAATAAACAAAACGTATTTCTGACCCTGTGTGTATGACATTTAGTCTTACAAAAGCTTACCAGGAACTTCCCTTCATTTTCGTGTTCCACAGGCAAAGGAACGTGAGTTGGAGCTGAAGAACAACTGGGCAGATAACAAGCTGACGCGCCGACAGACACAGGCCAAATACGGTTTCTAAATGTCACTGAGGACTCTTGGTGGCAGGTGGAAGCCCTGCATCAGAAAGTAGAGTAGATCTTTTCAGAGTTCCCCACACAGGAGGAAGACGTGTGCTTGGGAAGAAACTATAAACACCTTTTAATACAGAGTTTGCCCTTGCTCCTGCCCTCTCTTATGTATTTGTGTTGAATTGTTATGCAGTAGTTATTTTTGTTTCACTGTTTTTGAAGGCGTTACTTCTATACAGAAAATCCAGCCATAGCCCCTTAAACCTTTCCCAGTAAGATACAGCAAATTTAGGCTCTCTTCCTACAAATAAAAATGTATGTTTTTCAGGTTCCTGCAGCAAATCCTTGGCAGAGATCATGTATGTGACCCTCAATATCCTCCTCTGAAACTGTATCTTCCTGTTCATAAAGCAAAAGACTCCTTTTTTTTAGTGATGCATTCAGAATACTTCTTTAAAAACGCTTTGGTTCTCTGGCATTCACACAGATGTTAGTACAATGTTGCCATTCATTATGAGGAATGAACTGGAGTCAGTAGAAAGCTGTGACACATTACATATTTATATATGAACCAACAACTTTGTAATAGAAAATAAAGATGCTGTTGGAATACTTATGCTGCAGTTGCTTATGACTCATTAAATTAATGATAAATGTTGTCTATTTTGCTCTTATTCAATTGCAGTCCCCATCATCACTGTCAACATCTTGCGCAACCTGATCTGCCTCAAAACTGAATCTAAAACATCAGCAGTCTACAAGTATTGATTTCTTTCATGCCTTATGGTTCAAACCGCATGCAGAGCTTGTGTCAGAGCTGAGCCGCTGAGCCTTTATATATCATCACACATATCTTCCAGATCTTTTGGACATTACTAGGGTGTTTTGTAAGAAATAACAATACAAATGTACTCAATTCATTCATTGGTTGATTACATATCCATCTCAATGAGGTCACAAAACTAACATTGACCTCTGCAGGTTTCATTTAAAGATTGACAAAGCATACAACTGTGTTATGCATTATAAATGTCCTATGTCAATAATTCAGGGACCAACATGTTCGACAGTTTCACTTTTTGTTTACCTCATACATTTGTTATGCGTACTGTGCTCAAAATGAATGAATAAATATTTTCCTTGTCTTGGTCAATAGTTCCAAATGCAAATGGGTAGTTTTTGGTCATGTCGAAACACAATGAAGCAGGTATTACATTTAGGTTACAAAAGTGTTTTATTGTCTATCCAGCTTTGGTTAACAGCTCAAATGAAATATACAAAAGTTCCACCATTATTTGAACAATTCATTTAATAATTATACAGACAACTGATTTTATACATGTGAATTACAGGTAAACAATAACCATCAAAGTTCTATGCACATCTTCATGTCCTTTAATCTTTTTTCGGGCTATCACTTGGTTGTGCTGTTGTGTCTGGACTTGTCGGTGTACTTGCTGCTTTTTCTTCCTCAGCAGCAGAGACTCCTGCTGCAGCTTCACTAGCTTCCGCCACAGAGTCTTTAGCTGTTTCAGCCTCCACTGTAGCATCAGAAACTAGCTTCACAGCAGCATCCTCCACTGGAGCATCAGACACTAGCTTCACAGCAGCTTCCTCCACTGGAGCATCAGACACTAGCTTCACAGCAGCTTCCTCCACTGGAGCATCAGACACTAGCTTCACAGCAGCTTCCTCCACTGGAGCATCAGACACTAGCTTCACAGCAGCATCCTCCACTGTAGCATCAGACACCAGCTCCACGGCAGGATCAGACACTAGCTCCACCGCAGCATCAGACACCAGCTCCACAGCAGCATCAGACACTAGCTTCACGGCAGGATCAGAAACTAGCTCCACCGCAGGATCAGAAACTAGCTCCACCGCAGGATCAGAAACTAGCTCCACGGCAGGATCAGAAACTAGCTCCACGGCAGGATCAGAAACTAGCTCCACCGCAGGATCAGAAACTAGCTCCACGGCAGGATCAGAAACTAGCTCCACGGCAGGATCAGAAACTAGCTCCACGGCAGGATCAGACACTAGCTCCACGGCAGGATCAGACACAAGCTCCACGGCAGGATCAGACACCAGCTTCACGGCAGGATCAGACACCAGCTCCACGGCAGGATCAGACACTAGCTCCACGGCAGGATCAGACACCAGCTTCACGGCAGGATCAGACACTAGCTTCACGGCAGGATCAGACACTAGCTCCACCGCAGCATCAGACACCAGCTTCACGGCAGGATCAGACACCAGCTCCACCGCAGCATCAGACACCAGCTTCACGGCAGGATCAGACACCAGCTCCACGGCAGGATCAGACACCAGCTCCACGGCAGGATCAGACACCAGCTTCACGGCAGCTTCGTCCACTGCAGCTTCAGACACTAGATTCACAGCAGCCTCCTCGTCCTCAGCAGCAGCAGCAGCATCTGCGGCTGCCTGCGCTATTTGCGCTTTCAGCTGCTTCTGATAGATTGCTGATGGGTCCTTATATGGCACCACAGACAGAGGGACACGAACTATGTCCATTCCATTAACCTGGAAGAAAACATAACAGTAAGCATTCTGATCTTTGGTAAAATAACCAGCTTGAAAGTTACATGAAGACATGCTTTTGATTGAAAAAGATAAAGACTAAAAGTAATTTGAATTTCTCTTAAGAAAATGTTAGCTATTTCTTATGTGATTATTTTTCTTGCAACATATGTAAAAACACAACTCATAAAAACATTTGGAAATAAAAAATATTTCTACAAACTGATAAAATGTGTCTTTAGTGTGGTCTGTCTGATAATACAATGGTAAAAATCATTACTCACCGTTACTTCACACCAGTAGTCGCCCTCCTCCTTGACCGACTCAAATGGCAGACTCAATGCATGAGGAGGCACAAAAACTCCCAGCTGAGAAAAAGATGAATTCAATGAATAAACAGTTAGATTGTTAGAGGCACTTGTGTAATATTAAACAGGAAATGTAAAAAAAAAAAGGAAAGAGATAAAGAAGGCCGTACCTTAATTTTGAACTGCCTACAGACCACTTCTTTATTGACCTGGAATTCTTCCAAAGGCATTCTGCTAATGTTTAAATGGGATTTTTTAAGGATCTCTACTGTCTGTAAAGAAAAACATGAGGAAGCCTTTGTTAAAAAAAACAGCTGTGGTGGTCATTTGTGTCTCCAGCCAAGACAGAAAAATGGTGAATCGCGGAAAAGCTTGTAGAAAACTCACCAACTGTGCAGTGCGGGTTTGAACTCTTTCCTCTGGCTTCCCCTCACGCAGGAGCTGTTAGTAAAGAAAGGTGACAATATTTATTAACTATACATTGCTATGGACAGTAATATGTGGGAAATACATATAAAAGGACAATATTAAAACAAAGTCCTCACTTTTATCTCCTCTTCAAACATGTGTTTGTTCTCCGGTGAAGGATACACTGCGAGGCCTCGGGGCAGCAGCTTATTTCTGCCAGCTGACTTTCTCACAAACACGGTGTCCCCTCGCACTCCGAGCTCTGCAAGAACAAACACAGGTATTTTAATAATGAAAAAAAGTTCAGTGGTGCAAATATATTGTTTTACTTCCTGTGACAACTCTGACATCTTAGGTTTGTTATCTGTGAGCAGTAATGGATTGTCCATTTACTCACACAAGTAATGTACTTAGTTGAGGTGCTTGTACTTGACAAGAGTATATTCATTTTATGCTACTTTAAAGTTCTACTCCACTACATTTTGGAAGTCAATATTGAACTTTGTACTAAATACAGATATTGGCATATCACTAGGTTAAGATATCCAGCAAAAGTATACAAAGTCATTCAAATGAGCAACGCCTTTACGAGCTGTGATGGATACATTATTGCATCAATAATCACAATCCAATCAATCTATATGATTCTGACTCAAGGGGCTTTATTGTTTTAAGTCACAGGCTCCTTCTACAATGCAACATAAATGATATAGGCCATTACGCATGCGAGTACTTTTACTTTTGGTACAAGAATAATTTGATACCAATACTTGTAATTGTAATTTCACAATTGTAATGCAGGACTTGACATTTGAGTATTAAGGGTATTTGTTTCACCAGTGTCAGTGAGAGCAGTACTTACTGGGAACTGTGGCCGTCAGGATGAGCTCCATCTTCTGCTTCGGAGCCTGTTTGGTGTCTTCAACCAGTTTGTAGATTTTGTGTCTTCGAGGGTGAAGCCTGGGCGGACGGCCTTCTTGTGATAAGGGCACCTGCCACCATCTCTCCACGATCACTGTATTCTGTGGAAACACCATGAACAAATAGATAAGTCTGCTGTCATGTCCTGTAGCCTCCTACATTTGGATTTATGTTTTTGGTTTAAGGGTTGGGCGATGAGATTGGTAAATACTTTATTCATCCCAAATTACTTTGAAAGAGGAACAGTGTTGTCAAGCATTACACATGAGTTAAACATATTTAAAAGACAGAATATGATACAAATATAATACAACCAAAAAATGAACAGCAAATATTAAAAAGGATTAAACACCTCAATATTGATGTTGTAATGTTTATCATTGATGCTTTCACAAAATATTTACACAATGATAAATCATTTTTTTAGTAAATTGGATTTCATTTAATTTAATTAGTTTTAAGTGGGTAAAGGCATATAAAACATCTAGAAAAGTCTGTTAAACTCAGACAATTACACTCCTTAACTGTAATGCAGGTTTAAAATCAGGAAAAATGAACACTTATGATATTACGATATACAAAATTAAAACCGCTAGATATATAGTCTCGTAACACAATATTGATATACAATTTGAGATATTGCCCAGCCCTAATTGTAATGATTTGTCATGGCTCTCCAGCAGAACAGTGGAGTGCGGACCTAGTTATTTTTATTTTAACAAACCACATATTAGTGTATAAAGTGCTCGGACACTGACCTGAGCAGGGCTGAGGGAGAAGCTCCTGACAGCAGTCTGCTGGTGGAGCATCAGATCCTGAAGGGCACGGCGGCCTGAGCTCCACATGTTCACTGAACCAAGAAACTCACCGCCTTCTACAAATCCCCTGAGATAAAGCACGAAAAATGGCAAATAAGCCTGCGTTTAAAAAAACTTTACTCTTAGGTTATTCTCCAGTCACAGGTCAGATAACCGCAGCATGCATGTTAGCTTGATTTGCTAAAGGATAATTTGAGTTGGTTCTGTGCGTGTGACGTAAAAGGACCCCGCCAGCAGAAATAGTTGACCTGAAAAAGGCCTGATGTAAAAGCCCTTATCAAAATTAATGTACTGAGTCGTTAAAGAGACAATCTTATTACAACTAACCTTTGGATTTACAGGCTTTTTAATACATTCTCTTTTTTTTTTGTACTGAACATGTTTACATCTAAAAGGCAATTCATCCTTAAAAGTATCTAAGAATTGGTTAGTCATAGCAGTATATTTGTTAAGATGTATTATATACACACAACTTTTCTTTTTTTGTGGCCATATAAACACTCAGCTACCATGGCACTCAATTGACCCTAGCAAAAATAAATGCTATGTTATATGAAACAGAATGAAACAGCCTTAACTTGTTATACAGAGCAACTTAACACGAGTTGAAAGTATCCTATTTACAGCTTTCAGTAGTTAAACCTCTCTCCTTTGATGCATTGATGTAGAAGTGTACTCCACAATGTGTCAGTGACATCACTGTTACAGTTGGGTTACATTTTCCCAAGTTTAAAGAGCAAAACACTTTACACCCTGGCAAGAACAAGAAACACAATGATACGATACTTAAATAGAACAGCAGCATTTATTCAAATCATCAGGAATATAGCAAAATTAATTAATTCACAACATATTACACTTTTATTTTCATAGATTACTACACAAATATTTTTTACAATACCACTTTAAGTGGTGCAATAAAGAAAAGTTATTCCACTGAGGAAAGACACCTGCAGAAAGCCAAATCTAGGTAAAGGATCTTTTTTTACTAGCTGCCCATACTTTCCGTATCAAGTGCAAAAAGTGAAATGTGTATTTATGTATAAGGCTATGTCATTTATTTTTTTAAGCTCTTTTTTTCTGTGCCTATTAAAGTTGCTGTAACAATTGAATTGGGATTAATAACATTATCTTAACCAATCAAACTGTTCAACTACAAAAACAAAAAAGATAAAAAACCTTTAGCAGCAGAAGCATAATAAAAAGTTGAAAAGGTTTCACTCCTGTTAAACCTAGTGTAAAATCTCTAGACATTTGAAGACATGAGCGAAGAAATTGTTCAATCACACATCACCAACAATGGGTTCTTGGAAATCACTTGTCGCACCGTAGAAAGAATAGCGGCTGGGTACCAATCTGCCTCCTGAGATTACAATCTGACAGCAGGTCAGTACAGCGAAGCAGCATCCAAAGACGAACATGAGAGTCGTAGCGAGCCACACAATGGTGGTGATCACGAAGGCAAACAGGTAGGTTACCCTGTGGCAGTATGGAGCTGTTCCGGGTGTGTAGTTGGGAGGATAGATAGGATAAATCCAGATAGAACCTACAGGAAAACATTTGAATTTGATTAAGACGTAGAACTAAACAAAGAAACCAAACTTGAAAGGCCCTGAAAACAAGTTTTTTTTTTTGTCCGATTTTTACTGATGGTAACCAACACAAACAGTTATTTCCAAGTTTAGTACTTCCTTGCACCAATCAGGATCACAAATACTTATTTTTCCACTTACCTAAAGTGCTATTTATCAATTTAGATTGTTTTGATGTGAGTTGCATAGAATTGCAAAGTGCGCCATAAAACAAATACAGTATTATAAACCAACCAAAACCAATGCCTATTTCTAGAAATCATGACTCAGTTACTAGAGCTAATCCTTGTCGTGAGCAGTTCGATGGAGGCATATATTCTTTCTACAAAACTACACCCGCCAACAAGTGAGAACAAGCCCCTATCATTATAGAAGAGTAGGATGAAATACAATACTCAACAATGTAATTGTATTTCAACGGCACCTGAGTAAATGCAGGCTACTCAGTTACTTTACATCATTGCCTATTTTCATGTCCGGAGAGATGTTATCTGGCAATAACATAACATTTTGGTGACATTTTCTCCCACCTGCAATGAACCAGCCGAAACTGAAGAGGTACAGGAGGGTGATGCAGATGGAGCACATGGTGGGGACCCTGGCCCCCTCCCTGTTGGTCACGGTGTAGGTCATAGACAGACAGAGGAGGGTGGTCGCTCCCAGCACTATCAGGTAGATGGGGAGGATCGGCTCTACTGGACATCGTTGTAGATGTGTAAGACCTATGATGGTGTCCAGAAACATGTTAATATTAACACAGGATCATGAAAAATACTCTCCTAAAAATATATGGTTTGCTGTCAAAAAATATTACATTGATCAAACCTACCCAAACCAATGGCTGCGATCATAAGCATCCACCAAATCATATTCACCACAACTACAAGAAAGGAAGAGTGAGAGGGTAAGGAAGAGTAAAATAAAATAATAAGGCAAACATAAATGTGAGTGGAAAGATATCTCACCAAGTGATGCAATCATTACAGCCCCTCGAGGCCTGATTTGGTCATCTGGAGACGGATTCATCTCTGCAGTAAAGAAAGTCTTGTCCAGTTTTTACAAAGACATAATCTGGAAGAGAAGCTGCAGCAAAAGTTTTTTATCGTACCTGTTCAGTTCTGAATGGAGACACTGGAAAGACTTATTTTCTTTCTTTCTTCTTATTCACTAAATGAGTGTAGCTAGAGTCTGAGTCGGACACTGCTTACTGTACAAAGCATCAACCCTATTAACATCCTTTGCTGTTTTAGCCGGATGTTAAGACATATTATTTCAAGTCAACGCATTTCAACAACTGTTACGCAACGCTCTCTGTGTTTAAATAGGAGGAAATTATGATAACATCTGACACAGATGATCTGCGTGCAACGTTTTAAACCACAACTTCATCACATGGTGTCCTATTTCTCTCTTTTTCTATCTTGTCCACTCTTGGTCAATAAATATAAAGAGACATAATAAATGGTTCAACTCAAGGGCTTATTTCATGAAGCAGAAAAGAACATTGGTGCACTTGCAGATACACAGACAGGAAAAGCTGTGTTATCAGCTCTCATCAGTGTGGTTGTTATTACACGTTGCACTTTTATCACAAATGTTGTCATTTATTTTTAACGCAGTTGGGCAGTGGAACAGTTTCTGATTCTGACTTTAATGTGTAAAATGTGGGCCTTTAAAATGGTTGTAAAAATGATTAAATGTGATTGAAATGAGGTTTTTTTAGGCATAAGCAAACCATGTAAAAACTATAAAACCAAGACAAAAAATGGAGTCGAAAATATTGTCTTTTATATGGAATATGTCGGCAATGTTGATACCAAATGACCCGACTGCTGATTTTAATCGACAAAATGTGTAAAAACAGCAATTATATCGCACATGATCAGTTTTCACTGTAGTTTATTTTTGCACAAAACTTTGCATGTTCATTTCATGCCATTTCTGATTTATTTAAACAATGACATTTATTTCGTTTTCAGTTTCTTTGGTGAATGACAATACCTTTAATTGGAGGTACAATTTAGATTATGATGGTTACAGTCAGTAGTGAGGTAACACCAGACTATAGACATGTCATATATGTTGCCTCATGCTAGTAGTTACGGGAAATGTTGGAGCATCTTATTTCTCCCTGAAGAAATTCTATAATTGAAACTTGGTTTGTGATGAGCTGCGTAAAATACCGGTCTTTGGACCTCTCTCAGTTGGAAGTCAATGATCATTTGAATAGTAGGAGCAGCAGGGAAGTCCATGCATATGATTCCAAGGCGCTGCTTCAGGTCCGTCTTGGCGCTCAGGTAGTCGAACAGCTGTGCGTTGACGCGCAGAGCCACAGCGCGGGGGTACGCAAACACGCCAGCTCCACTGCTGTACGTAAGATAGATCTGGGCCAGGTTTCCTGCAGGAGCAGCCTCCAGGTGGTGATACACACTCTGCCATTTGTCCTCCACATGCAGGAGTGTGGGTACCTACAGGGAACGGCACAATTTAATAATTTAAAAGCATGAATATAAATTACTTATGACAGGTGTTTGTTGTGGCCTTCTCTTTTTATTATTAAAATTATTTATTTATTTGTTATCTTTAATATATATTTATTTTGTATGCATGCTTCTTAGTTAACATTAAGCTGTCTTTGGCTCTTTTCTGCTGTAACAAATGTACATTTCCCCTCTGTGGGACGGATAAAGGTATTCTGATTCTGATTCTCTACTGATTCCCCTCAGTTTATACATGTTGAAAGGAGGATGTAATGGTTTACTTTAAACCCGAATAGCAAAGGAATACTGGATATAGCAACTATTTTCTCTCTTTCTGGGGTCTAGAGTTTTGATTTTGATTTGTGTGTTTGTTGATTTCTATCGCAAAACTTACATTGAAATGTTTGAACAATATGTTTCCATACCTTCCAGTCATCAGCTATGTCCATGGAGCCATAGCGCACCCCCAGGTCTGGTCCAGGAAAGTCCTGCAGGACGATGAGTCTCCCCCGGGCCTCTCCCACGGTCGGCAAGATCCGGCTGTGCCACAGCAAGTCCCAGTGAGCGTAGCGGTGGATGTAGTCTACCACAGCGCCGTAGATGTCGTACGTCTCACTGCACTCCTCCTTCACACGCATCAGCACTGTCTCGCTGGGATACTCCCACAGGAAGTCAGCCACACCCTGCAGCACGTGGCCAAAGTGCCCCCGCTGGTAAGACACCCCGTGATGGAGGTTGAGTTTCCCGTTGACGTGACGGAGGCGGACGTCCAGGTAGCGGACGCCTGCTCGGAGCTGGGAGGCCAGGCTCCAGGTCTGGCACTCAGCGTACACCCCTCCGTACAGGGCCATGGTGTTGTGGGTCCCGGGCAGGGTGACCTCAGACAGCGGCTGGTCATCCGGGATGCTGGCCATCCAGGACGGGTTGAGGAACTCCGGGTTGGGCGTGTCATCATAATCAGGTCTCTGAATGGCAGCGTGACTCAAACCGATGACTCTAAATACAAAACAGGTTTTCATTTTTCTTGTTCTCAGAGAATGTCAAGGGTTGGCGACTTAGTGTTCATGATGTGGGTGCTTTCAAGCTCACCATTAATGAATATAATTCAATACGTGTGGTTATAATAGTTTGTGATGATAAACATTTGTATATGTTTTAAGATGGAAATGTAATTACTCGAGTAAAATAAAAGAATTGTATTCATAATATTTTAAGATTGTGCATCAGTCTGAGGCATTCAAAGGTGTTTTTGTGTCTTCGTTTATTTTAGTTTTTAATATTATTCATATTTATAAGTATTTTATATGTATCTATTATTGTGTTTTTACAACATTTTATCTTAGTTTATTGCTTTGAAATAAGCAATGTTTTTTTTTAACCTGTTCATTGTATGAATGTTTGTTTATCCCACTGCATAAAACATGCAGTGGGATAAACAAATATTCATACTAATGTGAATGAATATAATGGTATTTAGTATGTTAGATCAATGGCTTATCAATCTGAATTTTTTTTCAGTTTGCTCACCCCACCAGAACCATCAGCATCAGCGTCCTTTGCATTTTCACTCGCCCTCCCCTGATGCTGCTCATCATCGACGGATCAGTTCTGAGGATCAGCAAGTAAAAGACAAGAAAAACACATGTAACTGATGTAACCCCGAATTTAATATAATACGAATAGAAAATTAGCAAAAATGATTGCCAATAAAATATATACATTTAATTAGCCAGAGTAAAAATCTGATCTTATTAATAAACAAAAAACGAATTTGGCTTTACTTTGGTCATACTGTGTCTGTTGACATTGACTGTATAAATCCTTCAATATATTTCTTTTAAGTATTTGTCCAACTTTATGTTGAAAGAGTACTAAGGTGTTGATGATGATCAGAACAAATATTGTTTAAACCTTTGCTCTTACTTTTTTACGTGCTAGTGTCACTATAAAAATGTAACTTCTGTATATCTGTATCAGATATAGATGTCATTTAGTCTCTTGGATTGATGTCATAGCCTTGACCCCAGCACTCGTGATTACTGTATTTGTTAAGTTAAAAAAAGAGACCAATTCCCAAAATGTACATTAGGCAGCATTATGGGAAAACAACTTTATTTAAATCTTTAACTGTTCAATTTCTTTAAAAAGATGGTAAAACAAAATTTCCCATGAGCTCTTAATCTTTCCTGGGAAAAAGAAAAAAGAAAACACGTTCCCTTTATGAAAGTATGTCGGCAGAAATATGAAAACAAACAGTGACAACAATTCCATGCCGGTCCGAGCTGGGCTCGACCTCAGTGTACCCCGTCAGGCTCTCACAATAGCAGGGCTTAAGCCTTTTTTCTCATCCTAAACTGAATCAAACCACCCCCTGCTGCCGCCTCAAACCTGCTGATAGTGCTGCTCTGGTCCTCTCCGGTTCACACCTGATACCAGAAGGTGTTGGTGCTCAGTCCGGTCCGGGCTACCTGAGGACAGAGAGGGGAGAGAGGGGAGAGAGAGAGGAGCCGAGGGGCTCCGAGGCAAAATGACAGAGACAGCGCGCGGAACTGTGATTTTATTGTGGGAAATACCGTAGTGGAGCAGCTGAGCTCTACGTTACAGAACAGGGGTGGAGCAGAGGGGTCTGTTTGTGTGTGGGGGGTATTCATGAACACGTCCTTCATTTGTGGTGGTTTAGAAACACATCAATTAATAAAAAATAAAAAAGTGGATCAAAAGTTTACAATGAGGATCTTTGTCTTCCATTCCATAGTTATTTTACAATACAATAAATAGAGTTTTTTTATCTGGTTAGTAATAATAATCATTAGTTTAGGTAAAAAAACATTAGGGGCTTTTCTAGGTGCATCAAATACAGCTGAATGCTTTCCCACAGCGTTTCTTATCAGCTATGGAAAATCCAAAAATAGGCCCAATATTGATGTGTAAAGTACAAAGGTAAGAACTTCAATAGAGAGAACTTGTAGAATGGTTGAAAATGAACAGAAAAACCCAGTTCTGAGAATACAGGATGTAGGATTGCTTTGTATTCTGTGGCGGTGTGAGTCTTGAAGTTCAGATACAGATACAGTAGATTGGGTCATAAAGAATCTAAACACGTGTGTCCAAATATTCTTGGTGCTGTTAGACCTGACAGCTGCCTTTGACACTGTGGACCATAGCATCCTGCTGTCACGGCTTGAACAGTCCGCTGGCATCACAGGCATGGTTCAGGTCCTACCTGACAGACCGTAGCTTCTCAGTGCAGCTAGGTGCCTTCTCCTCTGCCAAAGCCCCTCTTACCTGTGGGGTTCCCCAAGGCTCGATTCTGGGCCCCATCCTTTTTCTACTGTACATACTGCCCCTAGGTTCAATTCTCACAAAACATAATATTCCCTTCCACTGCTACGCCGACGATGTACAGATCTATCTGCCTCTCAAAGCAAATGTCAAACACTCACTACAGCAGTTGATGGACTGCTTAGCAGAGATAAAATCCTGGCTGAGCAAAAACTTTCTCAACCTCAACGAGAGCAAGACTGAGGTCATCTTTTTTGGACCCCAACCTCCAGCCTCTCCGGTTGATATTCTGGGCTCTATCAAAAAAAACATCCTCCCCTCTGTCATGAACCTTGGAGTGACCTTCACTAGCACTTTTAATTTCGACAAGCAGGTCAGCACCGTAGTAAAATCCTGCTTTTTTAAAATAAGACTATTGGCCAAAACCAAGTCGTATTTATCTTTTAATGACTTAGAAAGGGTTATTAACGCCTTTGTAACCTCGAGACTGGACTATTGCAACGCTCTGTATGTGGGTATGGACCAGTCCTCAATTAAACGCCTACAGCTAGTCCAAAACGCAGCTGCACGTTTGCTGACTGGCCACAAAAAGCGTGACCACATCACCCCTATTCTAGCCTCATACTGGCTTCCAGTTCGGTTCAGAATTGATTTTAAAATCCTTTTATTTGTTTTTAAAGCACTAAATGGGCTGGCTCCGGCCTATATAGCTGAACTGCTCCAGCGCTACACCCCAGCCAGAGCTTTAAGGTCTGCTGACCAGCTGCTGCTGGTAGTGCCCAAGACCAGGCTAAAAACCCGAAGGCACCGAGCCTTCGCAGCAGCTGGCCCTAGGCTCTGGAACACTCTGCCCCTCCATGTGAGGTCGGCCCAGACCCTAGGGTTTTTTAAATCTAAACTAAAAACACACTTCTTCTCTCTGGCTTTCTAGTTAGAGCGGAGCACGACTCCTGACTTTTCCGTGTGTTTTTATTTTTATTTTGTTTTTTAGATATATCTGTTGTAATTTATTGTCGTTTATTGTGATTTGTAGTAATGTGTTTTTATTACATGTACAGCACTTTGGCTCGACCAAAAATCGCTTTTAAATGTGCTATATAAATAAAACCTGATTTGATTTGATTTGATTTGACAAAAGCATATAACCATCACGACAGAACAGATTTGCTCTGCTGTTGAAGGACCCAATATCTCCATATGACCTGAATAACTTCTCATCATATCATATGTGGGGGAAACTTCTGTGTAGCAATGCAGGAGGAGTCACCGACTCAAAGGAGACACGGAGAGAGCTGGAGCTTTGATGGCAAACACTGATGGGTTTATTTGGAGCTTCGGCCGGAGAATTCACAAAACAAGTCAAAGAGTCAGAGGTTCTGACTTCACGGTAGAGTTGCCACATCAATTCTGAAGAACTCTACCCCAGACCCATGTATTTAGCTAGTTCAGAGAGAATAATCAACATTGTGCATAACAAGATAGAATCATAACACCTCTATCAGCTGACGCCAACAGGCAGGAACACTGAGAGCTCAGCAGCGTGTGCTCAGTCAGGACAGTATGAACTGATAAACTGGGTCAAAGTTATGGGCCTTGGAAAATATTTCCCCAACAATCAGGGTTGCATATTTAACTGTAAAAAACTTAATTCGCACAAATGCAACATCATGTGACCCAATAACCCTTTAAAGGGCTGAAAGAATACTGTATTGACCTGTTGACCAGGGTCAGCTCTCTGAATGCTGAGGTGCCAGAGGCCCTCAACAGCTAGTCAGAAGAGGAGTAGTGAGATTCAGCACATTGTTGGCACTGGCTCAGTCCATTTTATTGACATTTCAACCTTTTCTGGGACTGTGGACATCTTTTTAAGGTATATGGTCTTGGTCTGAAGTAGTAAAAGTGTCACTGTCTGACCTATATTCTTCTATATAAACTTGGATAGTCACCTCACAAGCTGCCTAAGAATTTGTTTTCCTATCCTATTCCTTTGTCCTGTACTATGAGAGTGACATCATTAAGTGTGTGAAGGTCAGGGAAAGTGTGTGTGTGTGTGTGTGTGTGTGTGTGTGTGTGTGTGTGTGTGTGTGTGTGTGTGTGTGTGTGTGTGTGTGTGTGTGTGTGTGTGGTGTGTGTGTGTATGTGTGTGTGTGGGAATGTGGCACATGGAAAAGTCTGCAGATGTTTTCTTTTTGTGTCTCTTATCGCTCGAGGGAAGTCAAATATTACATAACAAACTTGTCCTTGTTAAGTAATATTTGGTTAGCTGTCAGATTGTATACCAAGAGTGAATAGAAGATAACTTCTTGGACTTTTTTTTAATAAAACCAGGCCAGGGGAAGTCCAGGTGAATGCGTTGAACTATTCAATTTTGACTTTAACCCTCACGATGAATATAAAATATAAAGTATTTAGTGGTTTTTTAGGTGTGCTTAACCCTTATGTTGTGTTCGGGTCTCCCGTGACCCGTTTCAAGTTAAAATGATATAATAACTACGCTCTATTTTTTTTTATCGGAACAAGGCTTCATGATATCCTCCACAACAGCTATATAAACACTACAAAACAGATTTTGACAATTTTTGCCAAGTCTGACGGTCTCTAACAATAATTATTCGCAACATGCACCTGGTATCCCCTCCCTCTGCCCCCCTCCCCCCACGGGAACTTGACCTTTCTTAAAGAATATGTACACTAACACTTGAACCTGAACACACATATGCATGTGTGCAATATGTGGTGTAATGTGTTTTGGGCCATAACATTAAATTACAACAGGATTGTACGGTTATGAATGCATTATAAGTTAGTTATGATGTAGTTAAAACAATATTGGATGATAGTCATTTTTTGTGTGTGTTTTGGACTGAGATAAAAATGTTTTACCCGCGAACACCATGAACGGTAACAGCTTTTGAACACAACACAAGGGTTAAAGCAAATGATTTGCCACACTATCCTGTTGTCAGTGAATGTATCAATAATGCTTCATTTATTATTTATTTCCAATAATTATTTATTTATTAAAGATACTTAGTTTGTTGTCAAAGTGTAGCAAAGTTAACATCATTTAATAGTTGAAGGTTAGGGGCCTTGGAGTGTGTGAAGCTGATCAGGAGACAGTCAAGTGTTGCTGAGTGCCATAATGTAATTCTTCATAATACCACCAGATAGCACTAACGTAATACATCCCCAAGCATGGCTTTGCATTTTAGTACTTCTACAAGTATACAATGCTTTAAATGTTAGGATAAAAATGTCAGCATTTGAGTAAGAAATATATTTAAACTTTAAACTTACTTTGATGTGCCACAGTCATATTCTACAGAGCTGTCACCAAGGAGGATGAGGACGGAATTCGAAAGACGTGAACCAAGGCATCCAGAAGAAGAAGCTGCAGGAGAATATGGACAAACAGAGAGGTCCTGCAGTTTTAATATAAACTAAAATCTATAGTTATCTGTTCAATCATAAATCAGCAAATCACAGTAAGTGCAGTACAGTATGTCACAAAAGCCATGCTTGCACTTTGTTGTGCATTTATTCTTCCTGCAACATTTTGTCCACTGTTTCAACATTGTTTTGATATTTCTGTTTGAAATTAACTTCATGCTTTACTGTATTTCAGGTACTTTTGTTAAACGCCATGAATTCATATAAGGTTTTATAATCAGTATACATTTTGAGTTAATTGTTATTGGTAGCAGCACACAAATATAGAATCAAACCAAAGTAATCATGTTACATTTTAGGAAGATTTCATTATAACAAAGTGTTATATCAGGGTATATGCAGGAATCCTCAAGTCAAATTGAATACCTTTTAAGACCTTTTTTAAGACCCTTTCCATACATTTTAAGACCTCATCGCCACTTCAAGTTTTAACCGGTTACATTGGCGACACACTTTACTTCACATTTACTATATACAGTATTGATTGTCCTTCCTCCTTATCTTCCAACCATTTGGACGCAAACTTGCATTTCCCCATAACGATGTTGTTTAACAACCGGCGTAAACGGACCTTCGCGCGCTATCAAGCAGTGAGCGTGCGATGTCCTGTTCAGATGAAGTCAAATCCAACGGGATGCCATAAATAAACTACAAAGAATCACACTACACACCTACGCAATGATTACATTCAGGCAAACTGTAGAATACAACCTCTTTGGACAATTTATATACTTATTGAAAACAAGCTACAAAATGTAATACCTTGGAAAATGCCGTTTAATACTTTTTAATAGCCGTAATTTTCGCTATATTGATTTATCAACTTTTAATACTTTTTAAGACCCCGCGGACAACCTGTATATACTGTAAAGGTACATTTAAAATGGAGTATTACTTGTTTATGTCACTAGAGGACAAAAAAAAAAGAAAACACACACATGCCCTTTTCCAGAAAAACGATTGTCACACCTTTGATGAGTTTTACTGTTTCCCTTTCAGTATACAGACACGTTTCCTCTTGTGTTGTCACGATTCTTCTTTAAGACTGTCAGGGCGGAAGCTATTTGAGGACAAAGAGGCTCATGACGTTCATGTTTTATGAATCATCAGAATTACATTATAGCATTGCAGATTCAATGTTGGGGAGGTTTAGTGCAGGGGAAGGGGAAGTATGTATTTATGACCTCAGTATTTGTTAAATCTTCAATGATGTTTGTATTGATACATCATGTGGCCTTATTCTGTCTTTTGATATGATTTTTTGGACATTGTTGCTGTATATTTAGAAAATACATATTTCATGTCCTAATTTGCTAGTGCATTTTAGTTGCACCTTAATGTTATATCCACAGACCGTGGAAGCTTTTAAAAAAGGCCTCAAAACCCATCTATTCAATAGAGCCTTTCCCTAGACCTTTTATCTATTACCACCCTTTTATTTTATTTTAATTGTTTTTTTTGTATTGCTTTTTATTCATTCTACCGTGTTGTGTACTGTTTTTATACTGTTCATGCTCACTGCTTGTAGCACTTCGGGATTTGAAGTCAAATATGAAGTGCTTTATAAATTAAACCCATTATTATTATTATATCCACTGCATAATTTTGCTCATGCAATAATTCAAGTTTTATTTCCTAAGACTATGTGAATCGTTGAACAAGCATTTATGTGATTGGTATGTTCAGGCCACTTTGGGTTACATGCCAACACATTGCTGATATACATTTTAATACAATCACAATGAAAACAGTGCCTTTTCTGTAACACTGTAGGCTATGTAGAAAGAAATGTTACTGATGAAAACCTCAAATGTAATTTTTATTCTCAGAGCACTGTAAAGAAAATTCCATTTATATTGTTTGTATTTTTAAAAACCAAATATTTCTGCTTGTTGTGAAACAAATAATCATATCTGAGAGAATATCTATTTTGTAATTTTGGTTGAACTGACCCCTCACATCTAATTGAATGTGTAACTGCTTAAAAACGTATTCAAGTGCATAAGTCTCTACATAAATTGATGGAATATTATCAACTGTGACGTGTTCAGTTTGCATTGTCTTCATAGAGTTATGTGATACTCGGACATAAAAGAGATCCTGTTTCCTGGTTTCACTTCTGTCCACTGATACTCTCTGTGTTATTTCTGATCACCAGTACTGGTTTGGAAGGTGCGTGGTGACCCGTGAGTAAAACAACACAATGAAAAGGATGCCCTGTCATTCACTGCCTGTGGGTGGAGCTTACAGCTGCAGTGCTTCTGGAGGAACTCCCCTCCTCCAATCAGCACAGAGCATGCATGAGTCACTTCCTCATGTTTACTCCCTTATTTGGCAGGCAGGGGCTGGCCTTATTTGACTAGGGAGGAAAATGGTGGAAAGGAAAGTCAGACGGCTTCAGTAGACTGAGTGATTCCAGCAGTTGTATCTCTGGTGAGTAAATATCTGTCGTCTCATTGCTTTCTAATCGTTGATCTGAAGGATGTTTAAACTGTGTGTGATAGCTGAGTCAGCTAGGACTGATGCATTAACAGGATGATTCATGTGTGTGTGAGGCTGGGAATCAGGAAATGAGAGAACTAGGCTTGAAAACAAACAAAGTAACACTTCCTGTGTTAAAGTTAAAGGTGTCAAATAGCCAATAGAGCTTATTAAATTGAAGAAGCTGCTACATTGAAGGTTAAGGCATGTAACCATTTGTTTATTTCCAGTCTTTCTTGTATTACTAGGAAGACACACCCACTGTTGTCCCTGAATTTTCCTGCAGGACAACATTGAGATGGATGATTAATGTCACAACTATGAGAACGATGCATTACAATTGGACATCATCTGTAATACTGCATTATTTTCATAAGAACATCTTATATAATTAATCATTTCCAAAACACCACACTACACATTTTCAACTGAATGCTTAATTTGGATATTTGTTTATAGTTAAAATGCCCAAAATCCACTGGTTCCGTCATCTCACGTATGAATATTTGATTGTCTTATTTGATATTTAACCAACTCTCTTTGGGTTTTACACTTTTGTCCAGACAAAATAGGCAATTTAAATGCCAATTTAGGAAGTTGAGAGGATCTTCAATGGCTTTAACTATTTTCTGAAGTTTTATTTACCAATCAAAGAATTGAGAAAATGATGTAAAGATTAAATGATGAAAATATTAATTATTGAATGTTGAAGCGGTATGTGTAACTGCTGACAACAGAAGCCCCCATTGTGACCTGTTGCCAGAAACATTAGACTGAAAGATGACACCTACAACAATATGGCATGTGTGCAGCAGCTGGTGACATGTGGGCCGTAGCCCGAGCAACCTGAGGCAAGCCATAAGTTAAATATCTAGGGAAATCCAAGAAGAGACCCTCTGAGGCAATCCTTTAGGTAAAGCCTTTAGATAGGGTCCAGAAGATCAAGCTAACATGCAGAGTTAGGATTCAGTTTTAAAGCTACACTGGTTTAAGATATATATTTTTAAACATATGCTTCTTTTTTTGTATGTCTCCAGCCTCCAGACTCACTTTGTGTGATCCTTAACACGGCAGAAGAGAAGCAGCAGTGATGGCGGATGCAGAGAAGATCAAGAAAACAGCAGCCAAGGTGCTGTGCTGCGTGGAGAAGGTGACCTCCTTCGCCTCCTCCATCGACCCCATCTTTGGCATAGTCTCTTCCCTGGTTGGGGTCGCTCGCAAGGGCCTGATTGAGGAGGAGGGCCACGCTCTAGACAAAGACTTCCAGTCGCTCCACACCAAACTGGAGAGCATCTCCGAAAAGAACCACCAATGCCTGAGGCGGATCCGCATCGACGAGGTGAACGAAACCTACGGCAAGTACGAGGAATACATCAAGCACCAGTACACAGCCTTCAACAACATGGTGGGGCAGGTGAAGAAAGATCCTGACAACAGTCAGCGCCACATGGAGAACTTTGAGAAGATTTATGAGAGGGACAAGAGTGACCTGAGCCTGGATGTATACTACCGCGGTGTGATGGGCACCAAGTTGCTGTTTGGAAGACCCCTGCTGAAGGTGTACCTGGACAACTGTGACGGCGACCGTGAGATCATGGAGCGCCGCTGTTCACACATCACCCACCTGTTCCACATGGGCCTCATCGCCCTCATGGCGTACACAGCTGTTACAGAGGACGACGAAGACGAGGTGCGGGAGAAGTGGGCCAAGAGGGTGGCAGACATCCAGGAGAAGATGCAGGACATGCTCAGTCAGTGCAAAGACAAGAAGTCCTGAAGCTGCAGAGAGAGGAGGGAACAGTTTGCTGTGGTCCAAGGAAAACTGACAAAATATGTTATAATATATATATATCTGAATAAAACCAAAGCCATGTCTCATTTATGCACTTAAGCGGCACCTGATATTCTTAGTGGTGCATTTTAGTTATTGTATCGACGTTGTATGTTATGTTTTGTTTCAAAGAGACCACTAAATGTTTCAGTTGCTTTGTGTTACATGCCAATATATTGTATGCTGAAGTTTTGTACAATCTCTACAATTAAAATGTACATATTATTAGTCGATGAAGTTGAATATTGTGAAATTGATTCTATCCACATTAAAACCAACAATGTATACATAAAAAGGCCATGCCGTTTCTCCGTTCTTGTTAGTAAAATGTGTTATGAGACCCCTTTTGGAAAATAACAGTTCTTCATACATGATTTGATTATACTTAACCCTAAATGAAACAGAAACCACGATCAATATAAACTCATAAAAAGTATTTGATTTCGGTTAGAAGGTTAAGATACGGTAATCGTGTCTTTATGGGCTCTAACAATGTGTAAGAAGATTACATACATTTAGGAGGGGTATAATAACCAGGGAAACATGCAAGTTAGCTTAGCTTTGATCAAGAAGAATAGATATTAAGAATTAATTCAATTACGAATAGATATGGACTGGGACTCTAATCAGGCTGAAGTTACTTTACTTTATTTAAGAACAGTTTGCTCGTAAAAAAAAAGGCAATAACTACTTAATTATCAATTAACTTTAACCATACCTTTAGCAGGTGCACTTCATGCAGTTTAGGGAGGTCATGTGGTCAGTTTCTGCTAACTCTAGCTAAGTGCGCAGAATGAAATACAACGTGGGAATTTCAATTGTTTTCTCCTTACACGGCCTACTACACTATGTATAAAAATACATATTTTTCACAAGCACGCTTTGAATTCTTCCGGGGATTTTGCAAATACTTCCAGGAAAGAAATACAACACATTTGAGTATGTCAATATTTAATGCTGTCGCACTGAGTCCCCCTCACCGCCAGAGTCCTCTGTTTTCCGAGCCGAGCTGCTGTCATGGAACGTAACGCGATTCCTCTGTTTGTGTGTGCAGCCCTGCCCCAAAGTTACAGGCCTGCTGCGACCGCAACACAAATATCTGCTGTGGAAGTTCACCAGGAGCAGAGTCTGATGAAATAAACATGGTGAAACTAACCGAGGGCTGAGAAAAGCTGTTTCTGGTCTGCTGGAGGAAAAAGACACGAAGCTTTCGGTAAGTTTCATCTGATGTAAGAGCGGAAAAGCGGTGATGACGACTGTAGCATCCCGGCTACAGCTGCTGATTCAGACCTACAAGAGTACAAGTTGATCGTGTTTATTGTACGGGAGGAAATGTGTCAACGCTAGTTTGATGCAGCAGGTTTGAGTGTAGTCTAAAATATAGTAGATAACACACTTTGTGTAATAACTGTTTGAAGACAACATAGTTTGGTTTCCGGGGCGTGACCTCACTTTGAACTCAACAAGTTGATGTCTGAGCGGATGTTAATTTATTGCTTTTTATTAGTTGTATGTCTATTAAGAGTGAGTTAAACCTGAAGCCTGTTCTGTATTGCAGATACTTGTGAAAATCATTATTATAACACGCTCATGAAGCATGCCATAAGCCCCTGAATATAATGTCTTATAACCACAGTCTTGAGGTGCCTTTACTTTAAAATATCAAGTATCATATATTGATTAAATGAACATTTAATCATCATTATATATCATTATCTTGCTGTCATTTGGTTGTTTCTGAATTTGGTTTTGTCTGAATTTCCAAGCTTTTACATCAAGCTCAATGTGAGCATTCATAATAACATTAACTGTGATCTGTTTCAGGGATGCCTCTCCACAGCATTTGGCCCTTGTGTAGAACCTTGTGTCGGGACTGAGAGAGAGTCAGCAGGATGGGCAACGAGGACAGCCTGGAGGATGTGTTTGTGGCTGTCATTCGCCCGAAGAGTCAAGTCAGCCTGAGCTCAAAGGAGTACAGAGCCAAAGCTTATGAGGTAAATATCCTGAGTCAGAAAAGAAATAACTTACTGGCCTCAATGTCTAAGCAAAGTCAAATTATATCATATCTAAAATGGAAGAGACAAAGAGGAAACATATCTGTCTTCTGAGTACACTTATCAAATAAAGCTGAATATAGTTAGTGTTGTTTTTACATTTCCTTGTGTATTTACAGTTTTTTTTTCCACTAAAATTACAATATCTTTCTAAACTGCAACCTAATTTAAACTGACACTATATTTCCTTGTCAAAAAAGAAATAAAAATGTAAAATATCAAATGCCATTTAACCAAGCTATTCAACTTGTGTTAGTCAAAGAATGCTTACATTCCCAAACTATTTATAAACTTAAACTAAACCTTTCTGAAAATCTTAAAACAAACTGAAATAAAAAAGCAAAGTCAAAACTAAAACTAAATACAAATGAAAACATTTAAAGCAGTATGTGGTAAATCACCAATAATAAATTGAACACAAATGACACATTTTCAATTTAAAACGATACACTAAAACAGAATAGCTACCTAACCAATGACTTCCAAGCAGATTTTGAACCAGCCATTTAACCACCTTTCATTTCAGAATTGTTCAACTAAGCTTTTATGTTTCCTGAACAGATCCTGCTGATTGAAGTGCCTTTGGAGGGGAAGGAGAAGAAAAGAAAGAAAGTCCTCCTGGCTACAAAAATCCAAGCTGCAGGAGACAAATCCAAATCTATATTGGATTATGTGGACGAAACTGTCAGAACAATATCCAACAACCAAAGCTTCATCGGTGAGTGTTGGACATTCACACTCAAGAATAGTTCAAATTTCAGCCGTGCATACAGCATCACAACTTCTGCCTGTCATTTAAATATGTTGTTGCTCTTTAAAGTGAAGGAATGGTTTACTCATGACTCACCACTGATCCTGACACTTTTGTGTTTCAGGAAAGCGTGTGGTTCATATGAAGAAATTCCCCCTCGATGGAAACAATGAAGGAAAAGAGGCCTCGCTTTTTGTCGTGCCAGTCAGTGTTAAAGGTGAGCGTAAAACCAGAGATCCTTCACACAAAATCGATGCCTCAGACATTGTAAAACATTGTTTACATTCTGTATACTAATAAATTAGTCTGAACAGACAACAGCAAGCCTTTGCACAGCGCCGGGAGCCCGAGCTTCTACTGCTTCCAGGACATCATGCGGGTGTGCAGCGAGAGCAGCGCCCACTTCTGCTCCAGCACCTCCAAGATGCTCCTGGCCTTAGACAAGTGAGGATATATTCAGATACACAGACTGCGGTCAAATAGTCAATACATTATGCCATATGTCTACCTCTAACCCCTTCATGAGTTCAAGTAAAGATGTGAAGGAGAATTCATATGCACCTAGCAAAAGAAGACCCTGAATAATCAAACTGACCATGATGTTTTTTGGAAAAGCAACTTTCTTTATAAGTCATATGAGAACAGTAACAAACTAAATGTTGTATAATTCAAGTAGGGATTCCTGTCTAAAACAGAATCACATCTCCTGAGAAGGTTGATTTCTAGTCATACATAGTACACGATGGAAGAGTGAGGTGTTATTGATGGATGAATGGTGCCGGTAAAAGATAATCTAGTGTTCCCTGTTCTAAAGAATGTAAGAAAAGGAAGCATTGAAGTGGCTTTATTTAACATTTAGACAATTTGACCAGCTCTTATAATGGCTGACACCTTATTGTTCTAGGTTGTTTTATTAAGTCAGGAAAAAATACTACTCGACCGAGCTCTAGTCTTCTCGGATGAAGCTTTAGAAAAGTTAACGTTGTCTCTTTGACGTCAACAGGTGGTTAGCAGAGCAGCACAGCGTGCCTCACGCCATCCCCGCCCTGTTCAGACCGGCACCTGTTGAGCGGGTGAAGACCAACGTCAGCAACCCGGCCTACAGCAGCGAGGGCAAACTGAGTGAGGAGGGTCTGCACATGGGCTACACCGCTCTGGAGATCAAGAGCAAGATGATGTCCCTGGAGAAGGCAGACATGTGCATCCTCAACCCGCTGTACGGCTCAGATCTGCAGTACACCAACCGGGTGAGACAACCCTCTTAAGAACCAGGAGATACCTTATAGAAATGGCTGGGAAATTGACATGATTTATGTAGTAGACCAGGGGAGATTGGTTGTCTAAAACATGGAAGTGTCCTTTTGTTAGCACTATAAACTTGAAGAATCGTCTCATCCCCTTCCCTTTGTTTATCCTCTTCGTCTGGCTTTTTGTTTGCAGGTGGATAAAGTTATCATCAACCCTTACTTTGGTCTCGGAGCGCCCGACTACTCCAAGATCCAGATCCCACAGAGGGAGAAGTGGCAGCATGGCCCTAACTGTGTGGCAGAAGACACGTGAGTGGTTATTCTTACATGATGCACATTGTTTTGACTGTCTTCTCCAGTCCATTTCTACTCCTTTCTGTGTCTAATTTCTTATTTGGTCATGAAAATAAAATGAAGACAATTCTCTGCAGGGAGCGCCAGTGGGTGGAAGACTTCCCGCTCCACCGCAGCGCCTGTGAGGGAGACACAGAGCTGCTGCTGAAGCTCCTGGACAGCGGTTTCTCCGTCAAACAGCTGGACAGCGACCACTGGGCTCCCATCCACTACTCCTGCTGGTACGACTCATCTCAAGTAGCCAAAAGCTCTAACTTTCTCCGATTTTTAGTTTGTGTTGTTTATGCGTTCTTGTGGTAAAGTATAGTTTGGTTCAATGCAGGCACGGTAAAGTGGAGGCGACCAAGCTGTTACTGGAGAAAGGTAACTGTAATCCCAACCTGCTGAACGGCCAGCTCAGCTCCCCGCTGCACTTCGCAGCCCGAGGGGGCCACGCAGAGATCGTACAACTCCTGCTGCAGCACCCCGAGATCGACCGGGTACGACACGTGACGTTTACCTAACATTTGCCGTGTTCCTCTTAATGTTTTCCCCATAACTACTATGGATGATTTTCTAGCTGCTATTATAATTCAACATGAGATATTGATCACCCCTCCACCTACTTTCCATTATGAACAATGTTTGATTTGTAATATCAGTAAAGCAATAGAAATCGTATATATCTATTGTAAACTTGTTGAAAAAAAAAAAGTGATTGTTTCCCTTAACTACTTGAAACTTTTTTAAATGTAATTCAATTATGTATTTTTTTCTGTAATGCACAAGCAAAATAACATAAATGTCATGATAAATTATACATGACCACAAGGCTTTTTGCAAATATTAATACAATTATGTCGATAACTTGTTCACAGCTTGACAAATGTAATATGTTATGTTCATAGCACATCAAAAATTGCAATATTGTTTGATGATTTTGTAAGTATGATTTTTAGACAAAGCACATATGTATGAAGACACACTATATTACATCTAATATTACAATACTGATATTGACGTTCCCACCTACAGCACATGGAAGACCAGCAGAAGCGCTCCCCTCTTCAGGTGTGTGAGGAGAACAAACAGAACGAATGGGAGGAGACGGTGAAGCTCCTGCAGCAAACCAGCAGCAAACCTGTGAGTCACACATCCCACACTCACCTAATTACTGTTTGTGTATTGCAAACATGACACTAAAGTGTTACACCACAGTGTTCAAGCTGATCTCATGCAGCTTCCAAATTGCTTTGGCTAGAAGTATATCCATGATATTGTGAGTTACACATTTTTATAAGCTTACCACACTTTGTCCATAAATGGAGACGTTTCTGACAAGACGTTGTCACAGCCTAAAGTATAAACTTACTCCATCCATGCATTTAGATTAAATCAAGCTTTTTTGTGGTTCATGTGTATGTTATAGTGTCCATACACTGTGTCCCAGCTGTGCATTTGTCTATTTTTAAAGAACATGTCATATACAAATAATTGTAATGCCTCCGTTTATATATATTGAATTGTTAAGGAAGAAAGATGTGGTAGTTTAGTCTGCTGCTTCGTTAGATGATACTAACTCCTCCAGTGTTGTCCTTCAGATTAAACAAAGATCTAAACTGTTTCACTTGGTTTTTAATGGTACGTTTTTGTTCTCCACAGTATGAGAAGGTGCGTATCTACCGCATGGACGGCTCGTACCGCTCTGTGGAGCTGAAGCACGGCAACAACACCACGGTGCAGCAGATCATGGAAGGCATGCGTCTCTCACAGGACACACAGCAGTACTTCACCATCTGGATCTGCTCCGAGAACCTCCGTGAGTTCAATCTTAAGACACAAATGTGATGAAATTGCTCGTAAATTGATCCTCTCGCTATAAAACCAGCTAAGATCTCTCAGTGATTGTGCTCTTATGTTAAATGTCAGTTTGTTTTTCATGTATTGTGTCTTGATATGTGTCTATGTTGATGTTACACATGGAGCTGCTGTGATGCAAGTCACATTTCAGACTTGATCTGACCATTAAAGTATTACCGCATCGTAAGACTTGCTCAGTCAACTTCATAGGATTTTATCAATAAAAAAGTTATGTTGGAAAAATGTGATCAAATGTAGTATATTTGGTTTTGATTTAGGGACAATAGTATTACAATAATAAATATTATGTCATCATTGCAACAAAAACAATTTCAGTAACATTGGTGTACATTGTGTGTCAGACCTGCAGCTGAAGCCTTACCACAAGCCCCTGCAGCACCTGAGGATCTGGACGGAGATCGTGACGGAACTGACGGTGCTGGATCCTCAGAGGGAAACGTCTCAGCTCTTCCTCCGCAGAGACGTCAGGCTGCCTCTGGATGTCGAGAAAAAGATAGAGGACCCTCTGGCCATCCTCATTCTGTTCGACGAGGCCCGCCACAGCCTCCTGAAGGGCTTCTTTACTGCGCCCGACAGCAAGCTCATCACACTGGCCAGCCTCCTCCTGCAGATCATCTACGGCAGCTATGAGAGCAAGAAGCACAAGCAAGGATTCCTCAAGTAAAATATTGTTTCTAATGCTTTACAACATTTTGCACTCACCTCTTAAATGATCCTTGTTGTCCGTGATATGCCACACAATCAGCTTCAGTTGTTGTATACAGTAAAAAGATGCATTTCTCCCCAACAGCGAGGAGAACCTGAAATCAATTGTGCCGATATCCAAAGTGAAAAGCAAGGCGTACCACTGGACCAACAGGATTCTTCATGAGTACAAAGTACGCTGGGAGTTTTCATTGTACATATTCCTCTCCATCTTTAAATGAAATCCACCTGCTTCACTGACAGGCTGTTCTCTCCCTCTCCCACAGGCCCTGAGCACCAGTGAGGGGGTGAGTAAAGAGATGCACCACCTGCAGCGACTCTTCCTGCAGAACTGCTGGGACATCCCCACCTACGGAGCGGCCTTCTTCACGGGCCAGGTCTACACCAAGGCCAGCGCCAGCAACCACAAAGTGATCCGCGTCTACGTCGGGATCAACACCAAGGGGCTGCACCTCATGAATATGGAGACAAAGGTGTTGCCATGTTTTATTCTATGTTTTAAACACCAGATGTTAGCTACAGTTTAGCTGATTGGACAGTTTTAATATGTGTTTTGTGCTTTTGTAAGCGGTGAAAACAAGATGAACTTTTCTCCACTTAATCCTCAGACACACCAATGGAACAATCAGTAATAACTAATGCCAGGCAGCAAAGAATTGTTTAAACCAACAGAAATTAGTATGTAAAAAAAGTATTCAAAATACATCAAGACTATCTCCATTTGGTGCTGCCAGATAACATGGAGTCCTGTTTTGAATATTGCACTTTATTTAAAACATTTTATCAGTATTATTTTAGCTAATAATTGTACCTATTTATTTAAACATAATACAGCTTCAATTGTAAGTTTAGATATGTGGAATAAGATATACTTTTTTAAGGATAATCTTTCCAATTTAAGGAAAAAACTAAAGGGGAAAACACAATGTAAAAAGGGTTACATTTAATACGTTTGTAATCATTTTTTGATAGCTTCTTGGTGTTTTAATTGAACATTTGCTGTAATCTTTCTCTTTTTGCATGCTCAGTATGATAGTTTGTTAAACCTGAACACACTGCTGCAGTAACAAAATAATTTCCTAAGTTGGGATCAATAAAATATCTATATCTACCTCTGCCCTCCCAGGTCCTTCTCATCAGTTTGGAGTACAGCACATTCATGTGGCAGCTCGGACACGCTGACCAGTATTTCCAGATACACAGCGGGGACAATAAGATGAACTTCATTGTGCACACAAAACAGGTAACTGCTACAGGATGTCAAGCTAAAACTATGTAAATGGTTCAAGGTTGTTTTTAAAATATAGTATTCAAATAATGTCTGAATAACCCGGTCTCAATTATGTTTATCATTTTCTTGCAGGCTGGCCTTATTGTGAAGCTTTTGATGAAGCTGAGTGGACAGATGACATCAAATGATAAAAGCGTTTTGGACAAATATGCCTATGGCTGAAAAAGTGTTTAGGAAACCATAGCTGCCAAATATCAAAGTGCAAGTTTTTCTTACTGACTTTCATTTGACTGCAATATGTTGGCCTTTTCACAACGCCTCGTTTTGTATATTATGCTTACTGATATTTTTCACAACCTCACAGTGTATTTTTGACCATTCATATATTTGGAGTGCATGTAAATATGTTTATTTAATGTTTTGTTTTAATAAACCGATGTATGAATGACGATGTGTTGGATTTTGTGCTGAAAACTCTGAACCACAAAGTGTGCTTTTATTAAAATAATCAAATGATAGATGGTATAGAATAGGCTGATGGAAATTGTAAAATTACATGTTCATGAAAATGGTTTTAAAGTGAAGGAAGTTGGTGGTGTTGTGTGGAGTGTGGAGACTATAAAGAAACCACTTTAAGTCCTCAACATGACTAATAGCTTCAGACTGAAACACTAAACACACAATAGTATTAAATCATATTTAGGGGATGCAACCATGAAACAAACTGATTAATGTGCATGAAGAAAAAAACTAAATATTACAGGTTAATAACATCTAAAAAAAGACCCCAAACTTAACTTTATAATTTTAAGCCAATTTTAAGTCATCCTTATTGATGAGCCTCTAACACACCAGTTGGCAACAAACTGCTGTCTTATTTTCCACAATAAATAATAAATGTCTAAGTGCATATTATATTTCCGTACCTCTCTTGGTTGCCGACACTAACCTTTTTCATTATTTAACGTGTTTTAAGGGAAACGTCAACGTTTAAAGTCTAATTTAACTAGTTTGATTTGTAATGTCTGGGCATCCTATCAATCGATGGCGCAGACCTTGTTCGTCCCGCTGGAGTGACATCATATAGCCAGACATCGGTTCAGATGCCGGCAGCCAATCACAGCGCGGCTGCTTGACGGACACGCGGTCAGCAGCCAATAGAAAGCCGCTGTTGGTCAGGCGGGGGCGGGGCGGCTATTGACAGGTAGAGAGAAGCAGAAACAATATCGACGGTGAACATCAGATGAACTGGACGTTTATCCGCCGTGGGAACTTTGCATAGGTAGACGTTTATTTCCTCTAGTTTTAGTGGACCAGAGGAAGAAGTAAACATGTCTGTTCAATTTTATGAAATGGGCAGTAGGCTGTTCGGGGACACTGTTGGGAAAGTGAGCGACAACCTGACCTCCGTGGTGCTGGCTGCTTCTGTCATCACTCTCGCTCTGGGATATATTACTAAAATGCTGCTCAAAGAGTCTCCAGACAGTGATCTGGTAAGTAGGAAGAAGGAAAAGTCAGTGCCTTAAATTGTTGTTGAAATTCCCTGTAAGCATGTATTAATCATCCACTGTTATCATGTTTCCTTTTGCAGAAATACCCACCTTACATTCCCTCCAGCATCCCCTTCCTGGGTCATGCTATTGCATTTGGAAAAAGTCCCATTGAATTTCTTGAAAATGCATATGAAAAAGTAAGTATTGGAGTAGCATATTAGATTCATTGCTGTCTAGAAATTCACTGTCACTGTTCCAACTTTATAAGTCTTAATATTGGCAGTTTTTCAGTGATATTCAACTAAATATTTGTAGGTTTGGGACTGTTGGGGCAGACAAAACCAAGCAATTGCAATATGTCCAAACAGGCTAACACACTGTAAACCAGATCATGATCTTACAGGATAAATGTTTAAATATGTTAGATGCAGCTCCATGCACATAATATGTTTTAGTCTTGACTTTATCTTATTTTTCCCTCCCATACACAGTGATTTGCCCACGTACACACTTGACCTTTCCACCTTGTTCAACTGCCTACAAAATTTCTACTTCTGATATCAGTTGTATGTACATTGTTTATGGCAAGCAAATAAAATAAGTGATTAAAACAATTAAAAAAAGTCCTATAGCCCTAAAAAAAAAAGCAAAGATTATCCATAGTTAAATAAAACAACACTAGAGGAATTAGATTGACTTGCGGCCCCTCATTTTTAGTTTGTCCCGACCCCCCAGCACTGTTTTAACCCCTGTGTCTCTGCTGTCCCCCCTCAGTACGGCCCTGTGTTCAGCTTCACCATGGTGGGGAGTACCTTCACTTACCTGCTGGGCAGTGAAGCTGCCACACTGATGTTCAACAGCAAGAATGAGGACCTGAATGCTGAGGACGTTTATTCCAGACTGACCACTCCTGTGTTTGGCAAAGGAGTAGCCTACGACGTGCCCAACCATGTGAGTGGAACCACATTCATTTACACAATAGAAAAAAACATTATGAATTCTGGTGAATTGATAAGATCCAGGAAAGTAGATTTGCAGATACAATTCCCACTCTCTTTAATATTTTGCAGATCTTTATGGAGCAAAAGAAGATGTTGAAGACCGGACTGAACATCGCTCATTTTAAGGAACATGTGAAAATCATTGAAGCAGAGACCATCGAGTATTTTCAGAGATGGGGAGACAGCGGGGAGAAAAGTAAGATCCTTCACAAATACATGTATATTAGGAAAGTAACAAGTGACTTCGAACAGACTTATTTTGGAGTCCAAAACAGCAGAAACTAATGCATGCATTAAAATGGTTTCGTAGTAATATGAAATCATACTTTTTAACCGATTGTCAGTGGGATTTCTTTGGGTTGTTGCTGTTTCTGGTTCCTAATGAATACACTTTTGGCCTGTTTCAGACCTGTTCGAGGCCTTGTCTGAGCTGATCATCCTGACGGCCAGCAGCTGCCTGCATGGGAAGGAGATCCGCAGCATGATGAATGAGCACGTGGCTCAGCTGTATGCAGACCTGGACGGAGGATTCAGCCACGCTGCCTGGCTGCTGCCCGGCTGGCTGCCCCTGCCCAGCTTCAGGTACGACTGCTGTTCATGAATAAAGATTAGCATATAACAATCCAAGATAATCCAAAACACTGGATTAGTTCATTCAAAGAAAGAAGAGAACAACACATACATAAAACACCTGATTGAACATTACCTCAGATGTATAAACTTTCTAGTATATGTAAAAATAATAACACAAATATAACCTTTTTCTTTTAGGAAGAGGGACAATGCTCACAGAGAGATCAAGAACATTTTTTCCAAGGTGACTCAGAAGCGCAGGCAATCTGGAGAGAAAGTGGACGACATCCTGCAGACCCTCATCGATGCCACCTACAAGTAAGAGAGCTTCAAGAAAGAATTACAGCATAGTTTCAATTCTGAGCTCATACGACTGGATCACCTTTTTGCCTTGGCGGATCTAAGTGTATGTCTAAAAATACTTTTTAAGATAGATATTTAATTTGTATCCTGTTCACCATGACTCTTTTCTAAGGCAGAATGGTAGAACTTTTTCAAATTTTAGAGATGCCTGTGATCCTTAATAACTGCATCTAAATCAGAGGGTTCTCATTAAAAAACATAAACGTTTATATGTTTAACATCGTGAAATCCACTACACTTACTTCTATATTCTATTTAAGTCTAAATACAAGAGGTAACTTAGCTGAGGATCCCTCAGAGATTTTACTCCTGGTAAACTACATTATGTTTTGAAAATGCAGCTTTCCAAATCACCAAAAGGTATTTGGAAAGCTCTTTGCTAAAACTTTTCAAATATGATTTTCTAACCCTTGAATCTGTTCCCCTGTCAGAGACGGACGCCCCCTGAACGATAGCGAGATTGCGGGGATGCTGATTGGTCTGCTCCTGGCGGGGCAGCACACCTCCTCCACCACCAGCGCCTGGATGGGCTTCTTCTTGGCCAGAGACAAAGCTCTGCAGGAGAAATGCTACGCCGAGCAGAAGGCCGTGTGTGGAGAAGACCTGCCTGCACTCGACCTTGATCAGGTACAAAAAGGCTGAGTGTGCAGTAGTAATTGACATTAAAAACGCTTTGCATCTTGTTTCTACCTTAGCGTTTTCTGCCCAATTGTTTCCACTGAGTGACATAGCACTAGGTGGTGCTGCTTTTCCTGCGTGTAATTAATAACACACTTATAAATGTGTGATGTTGTATAAACCACAACACAGTTTTCAGGCTACTGCCGTTATATTTAATATACTGTAGTTAAAAAGAACTAATAATAATTAACTGCATCAAGATCAATATCACATTTTGTTAAAGAAAATACACCAAAAGTCACAAAATGGCTGTTGCTTTTTGACACAGATTGAGTAACTATAAGTGGTTCTTCTTGTATTCTTGAGTTAGTTAACTAGTCAATCTTAATATTTTCCTGTTGCTGTCCTCAGCTGAAAGACCTCAGCCTGTTGGAGCGCTGTTTGAAGGAGACCCTGCGTCTGCGCCCGCCTATCATGACCATGATGAGGATGGCCCGCTCTCTTCAGGTAAGAACTACACCGTTTGTTTGTTTTGTTATTTCTTTATAGTACTTAACATGATGGCATCTCTGTAATTCAATATGCATGTTTTTTCCTTTCTCTTAGACTGCAGCAGGATACACCATCCCTGTGGGACACCAGGTGTGCGTCTCCCCGACCGTCAACCAGCGTCTGCAGGACACCTGGGACGAGAGGATGGAGTTCAGCCCCGACCGCTACCTCAACGACAACCCTGCAGCGGGGGAGAAGTTCGCCTACGTGCCCTTCGGAGCTGGTATGAGAAAATCTATCATTTTCATGAAAGAAGTTTGTCTCATTTGTCAATTATATACCTGTAATTCAGTTTTCTGTCTACATTTGTATTTCATTTTTTAGCTGTGGATTTAAATAAAATCATGTACAACTCCTGCTTATAACCTCACAAGAAAATCTAAACTTCTCCGTCTGCTCTTCAGGCCGCCATCGCTGCATCGGGGAGAACTTTGCTTACGTCCAGATCAAAACCATCTGGTCTACTTTACTGCGCATGTACGACTTTGACCTGGTGGATGGATATTTCCCCACAATCAACTACACCACGATGATTCACACCCCTCACAACCCCGTCATTAAATACAAGAGGAGAGCACAGTGAGAGGCACGAGGAAACATCCTGAGTGTTGAAGTGGAGCTGCAACTTCCTGGGACTTGAATTTAGGATTTAATAGATGAACGCACTTCGCTCTGCCTAAAAACGTCCAATTGTTTAGTTTGAGTGCTTTTTCCCGCACTTTTTTTACCCATCAATGTCAACAGTAATGCATGAGCTTTTGAGACGTGTGCTTGCAGAGATAATTGCACTGACTGTACGACTGTGACTTGAACACAGATGCTAATATTCACAGTGTGAATTCTTAAACTTTTTCAGTGCCTTGATGAAGGGGCAACATCTGTTGATTTTGAAAAGACCAGCAAGTTGAATTTAGTTTTTAACTGTAAAACCAAGCAGAAGTTCCATATTACAGATTTGAAAGAGTTATTTTTTTAGTAGTTATCCAGTAAACTTCATTATTCCTGCTTTGAGACATTATTTAGCTTCAGCTGAAGAGAGTTACAAAGGCTCACTGCACAGGCTGTGTTGTTGTTCATTGGCTTTAAATAAACCGGGAAATGTCTTCTGATTCTAGAAAATATTGTGTTTAGCAATACATAGTATGGTTTATGTTGTCCTTTGTTTGTTCTTTGCAAAAGGAAAAAACGTTTTAATTCCTTATTTCAATAAAAAGAACATCTAAAAATCATCCCACACTATCCGCACTTAATGTCAAATGAATTGTGAATATATTTTTGTAAAAGAAGAAGAAAAGACCCAAATACTCAACTCTTTTCAAATAATGTATTCCTCTTTAATTCAGTTTTTGACAAAATACCCAGAAAATTCAAAGCTCCTACGCTTTACAAAAATACGTTCTCTACAAATGTCCTCTGTAGTCGTCCTGGCTGAAACAAAACACAGTGTAGTGTAGGATATCCAGTAGCAGCCTCCTCAACGATGAACCCAAACATTCTTTACATAACGCTCCACCCATACAACACAAACATATAAATTAATCAAGAGGTCTTAAATTAGCATTAGACAAATATACATGATTTAAGCTCATCCACAACAAAGAGGCAGATTTATTACAAACATAGCTGTTTTTCAAGTGCTGGCGACAAAAAGCCTGAATACATAACATGTCGTACACTAATATAAAAATGTGTTTTGGTCCACATGGAAAGATACAGTCCACACCAGAATGATAGAAAAACAGCAGAGCGCTCAGTACGAGAAAAGGCAACTGAGTTTCTTCAAGCCAAAGTAACTTGACAGCGTCTATCTTCTCAAGCCAAAGTGCAATTGAGCATATGAAGAAGCACCTGAGGAGAGAACGAAAGGTAGTTAACAACCACTAGTTGATGTGCAGATATTTATTTTCTAACAGTATGATTGTAATACAGTGCTCAGTGTGTGTTACCTGATGTCACGCTCCCCAGCCTCCTCTGCAGCGCCTCCAGTCTGGAGATGTAGTCGGTGAGCGCCCGGTCGGGGTCGTAGCTCTGCAGGTGGGAACAGGTGAGCGCCCCGTGGTCTCCCGCCATGTGAATCCTGCACAAACACAGACACAACATATCAGAAACACAACGGACACAATATGATACAGATCTAAATTTCGCTTTGAGTTAGCCTTCAATTTACATTTTTCAATTATTTTGGTGTTTTTCATTTTTTTACTTCAAAAGATCAGCTTGTCGCGTTTAGTGCCATCTAGTAGGGGTGGGCGGATCGATCCCAAAATATCGATACTTCCGATATTACGTTACGTTTCAAAATATCGATACTAGAGCCAATAGGATCGATACTTTTATACTTTTTTCCCCCTCTCCTCTACTCGTCAATTTCATCAAAAACTATGTGCAGACGAACACAAGTAGGCCTATATACGCTCTTTTCTTCTCTCTCCACTGCTGTCCTCCTCTCCCGAGGCTCGCGCACGCGCAGCGCGCTCCCTGCCTGAACGCCGATTATCAAGCTGACTGACAGCAGCCAGCAGGGCAGGACAGCAGCAGCCAGCGACTCGCGAGTGCGACACACGCGCATGATGGCTGAGAGAAAGAGGAGCGTTGTGTGGAGCTATTTCACAACTGTCAATGAAAACTTAGCGAACTTTGATGTGTGCAAGAAGGCAGTTCGCTACTGTGGCCACTTTGTATTGTTATTTTTCATGTTTGCACTTTAAATTTGCAAAAGTAAAACGTTTATTTGTCTATAAAAACTGTCCTGTCTTTAATCATGAAAATGAATAGGATTTAGTCTATTTATGATGCATTCAGCTCAAAAATCATGTCATGCAGCTCTCCCCTACATGAAAGTACATAAGAAGCTTTTCATTTTAAAAAGTATCGGTATCGGCGATACTGGCCCTGAAATACTTGGTATCGGATCGAATCCAGATTTTGTGGTATCGCCCACCCCTACCATCTAGTGGGGAAGGTGCAGATTGCAACAAACTGAATACGCAATTGCTCACCTCTCCCTTTTGAGTAACTTGAGCTGTCAGGGGTAAAACCGTGGTAACGTTGAAGTGTTTACAGTATAAGGACCTTTACCTAGCTCAGAGGCCAGGAGGAAATAAAGGCAGCGACTGATTCTAGCACAGTTTCACCACGTTTTGGAGAACTATAGTGGTCTTCAGGTAACATAAAAACATTTGTTTAAGAAATATCGGCTTATATCTTGTTATCATCATTATAAAATCTAGTTAGACTCCTGAAAATAAATAGTTTTGGGTTCATTTATAATAACTGGAATTGTTATTTGCCGCATCAGATTTTTCACCTGTGCTGTGTGGAAGAGACAGCTGATCTGGGTGATTCACGTCCACTTCGCCCCCTGCCGCTAGAGACTCCTCCTCCTCCACTTCCTCCTCCACTTCCTTGCTCTCTGTACATCTCCACGCTGCCGGGGTGAAGATACGGCGAGTCTCTTGCTTCTGTACCTGAGAGAGAGAGGAATACAAATGCATTTAGCCTCACTATTAAATGATACTGTCTAAGATGTAGGACCTGAAATCCTGTGGTTACCTAATATCTGTCTTGTTCCGTTCTTGTTGACACTGGAGGACGTGGTGGAGATCATCCCCGTCGCCCTGTGCCATCGCTTCACCAGGAAACGCATTCTGAGCAGAAAATATGAAGTTTTAATCTCTGAGATTGCACCAACATCTATTGTTAACATGAGGACCTTTGTAATTTAGATGTCAAACAATCCTTCCAACACAGAGTTCAGGTTTCCTACCTGGAGAGAGCGATGGAGACTCTGACGGCGGACCTGAAGCGCATCAGCCCGCGGCGCCGCTGGCTGCTGGGGTCCAGGCCGGGCAGCGCTGGCCGGCCCCCCATCCTGGAGAGCAGCGAGAGCGTGGCCTCCTCACACTCCTGGAAGCCGCCCAGCAGTAACAGCAGATACTTCTTCTGGTAGATCAGCGCCTTGCGGAAGCTTTCTGACCTCAAGTACTTCCCGTACATCCTCTGGAGGCAAAGGAAAAGAGAAAAATGATATGATTACACATGGAGACTCCAAGCTCCTACATTTCAGTGAGTTATAAGCTGTTTTAAACTGACCTTTAGTGCAGCGTTGTCACTCTCAGGTCCAGCGATCTCCCGCAGGGCGTCGCTCCTCATCTCCCCCCGGAGTCGGGCCACCTGGGCCTGAGCCAGAATTAAAGCTTTCTCCAGGCGGAGCTTCTCTCTCGTCCAAACTTCCCGCTCCTGAGAGAGGATCAAACCTGCCGAGTCCGACTTGGACCCTCCTCTCCTGCTGCTGGACTGCAGGACCAGAAAGAAACAAGGATGTTTAGTAACAGCCGTCTGTATTGAATGTCAGATGAAAGGCTCAAAAAATAAGTTTATAATTGAGTTATCACCATATGAGGTACTTTTTTTTTTATGTAACAGTCAGTGGTAATGTTAATGATATCATAGCAGGTCATCCCAATAGCACTTTCTGTCATGTACTCACGCTCTCGTCTGGTCCCAGGCCAGCCTGCCGGTAGCGGCGCAGCTCTTCCTCCAGACGCAGCGTGTGGTTCCTCAGATCGTTCTTCTCCTCGGTCAGACGGCTGACGAAACCTGTCAGCTCAGCGTTCTGCCTCAGCAGCCGCTCCGTCAGGGAGTTGGAGGAGCTGGAGGAGCCTCCTGTCAGCAGGGACACACTCTGAAACACACAGGAAGTCACAACCATGTTAGGAGGTTGATAGACTACAGACGTTCAAAAAATAAATAAACAATTAGTCGATTTTCTATCATAAGCAAAGTGGAACATTTACTTCTTAAGTTAATTCATTTCACATATACCTCTATATCGTAAATTAAACAGAACACATATTTAATATAAACATAAAACACTGACCTCAGGGATTGAGGGTAGCCCTGGGGACTGCTGCAGCATAGTGATGACCTCATCAACATTGGACTGCACCCAGGATAACTCCTCACTGTCCACCTCTGCAGTCAGCCTGCACACATGTACAAAGGTCACACCATTTGTATTCATTGTCTGTGGAGTAAACCGATCAACCAGTTCTCTTTGTCCTTATTGCTTAAAGCTGCGTTGGTTACCTGCCAGTCGTCTTGTTCGCCATTACTCTGATCTTGGAGGAAATGAGGTGGAGTTTGCCGAAGATTTTGTCAGCTGTGCGCCAAGGACCGTGGTGTGGTCCGCTGCTGTGCGTGGCTGGAGAAGCCCCCATGTGAGGAGCCGTGGTGGATGTTGCTGACTGACCATTGCCACTCTTCTGCTGGAACACCCAGTCTTTGGTGCGGTCGGTGGACTCGCTGGCTGCCTGCTGTTTAGAACACATTATTAAAAGAAACTCCAGGAAGTGAAAGGTTTACAGTATTAAGAGCGTGTGATCAGTTGATACTCACACTTTGTCCGTCACCCTGTAGCGGTGCACTCCCCTCTCTCCCTCCTCTCTGCTCTCCTGACTGATGTAACCTCTCGTCCAGTTTCTCCTTCTCCTCTTCCAGACCCTTCCTCCTCTCCGTCTCTCCCTCCAGCTGCTCCTGGGTCTCAGACATCCTCACCTCCAGCCTCTCAAGCTGGGCCCGAGCCTCCAGCAGCACCTCCTGGTCCCGCCTCGACCTCTGACTCCCCAAATTAAGCTCCTCCTCTTTCCGTACCACCTCCAGCTTCTGGGCCTCCACCTGACTGAGGAGCTGCACCACCTGGAGGAGAGATAGGAAGAAATACAGACTTCAAATACAAATATTTGTACCTTGGATAGTGTGGTGTCAAATGTTCATATAATCATTTCAATCATATATATAGATTACGTTTTATACTCCGATTGCCTTTTACTCTGTTAAATTGTAGTTTTAGTCCTATATGTGTTTCAGGGTTCATACACTTTTTCATCAATGATTTTCAATGACTTTTCCATGACTTCTCCATGACCTTTACCTAATTTTCCATGACCAAAAAAAATTACTCTTTCTCAGCGGTACCACTGAAAATGGTTTATTTTAACATGGAACAGGAAAATAAGGTCTGCATATGAAACATGTTGTGCCTATCTAAAACAAATCAAATAGTTGGCTTACTAGCTTCTACACGCTAAAGCAACTCAAATCTCTCACCAGCAAAACACCTCGACAGTTAAATGCTATTTTACGTTTCATTACTATACGATACAGTATTTATTATCATTATAGTATTACTATTTCGGCAATTAGATAAAATATAAATTATATTTGATGCA